TCTCTTTCTCTCTCTCTCTCTGGCCCTCTCTCTTTATCTTCAGTCATTGTGATCGTTGCATGTCAGGAGTACTGAAAGACTCAACGATTGACATCTGCAAAAGAGCATATCATATCATGCAGCAGGAGAAAAAGACTGGAAGAAACGATGAAAACCGACGACATGAGCCAAAAATAACGATTTTTTCCCCATACACAGAACGTAACGTTCTACGAAAGGTAAAAACGTTTTCAACACATTTCAACAAGTTTTCAACACGTTTCAACAAGTTCTCAACACGTTTCAACACGTTCTCAACACGTTCTCCACACGTTTCAACAAGTTATCCACAAGTCTTCAACAAGTTTTCAACAAGTTGTCAACAAATGGTCAACAGATGGACCAACATCCTTTCAACAAATGGACCAACAAATGGACACACCAATTTCAGTGAGCCCAATGTTTGGTCAGCGTTGGTTTCCTTTACTTCTGGTGGAACACATGACCCCCCCCCCCGCCAAACAATTTATAAACACAGTTCCAACGGTTAAAATATGGTGTCCACACGTGATCATCCTGTTAGAAAATTTGCCACAATTTTTCTGTTGTTCCCCGCTCCTTTTTCCGCGTTGCCTCAGGCAGCACCTCCAGCAGCCAGCAATACTCTAGTGTGTTTGTTATACACTGGCAACACGAGTGCTTTGAGTGGCAACTGGGGACAACTGTTTGTTTTATAGTGGTTGAGGAGGGTTGGACGTCACTCCAACCCCCAGGCAAAATCGCGGGTTCACAATGAGCCCTTGATCTGGCCAAGATCCAGGGCTAACTGTGGCCTCACCACAACCACAGCCTTAGTGAGGGCAGTTTCTGTAGCAGTTTCTTTAACTGCCCTCGTTTTCTTTTTCTTTTCTTTTCCCCAGCTATCTTGGATTTTCACGAGATATCTGGGGTCGTGGCATCTCCAAAACTGTTTTTATTTTATTTTTGTGATAAGGGATTGGAAAGATACAACCCCTTTCAGTTTGATGTACCTGGACCTTTTTTCCAGGGAAGATACATCGAGGAAAAAACTGTACTTAGCATTTTTCTTTGTGACCCATCCATTTTCAAGCTCCCTCCAAAAATGGGGGTCTGACATTTACCTCCTCGTGAGGATAAGTGTCCTCACAAGAATGCTGCAAAAATAATAAAATCTAAAAAAAAAATAAAACTATATCTTACTGCACGCGCCTGACCCTTACCTTGGCCAGGTGCATGTTATTGAAACTAACAACCTTCTCCCCTTTTCCCTCTGCCCTCCCCTGAAACAGGGAGGGTAGTTGTCAGGTTGGGAGAGGTAGGTACTCTCTCTCCCAGCCTCCCGTTTTCCCTCCTTCTCCCTCTCTCCAACTCCATCGGCCTCTATCTTCACGCGTGCGTCGTGGACCGCGAGATTCTAGATCTCACGACCACTCATATTCGAACCAACCCCGACTGGAAGCTTATCTTGCTCCCACACAGTCGAAAAAACTGTTTTCTCCTAACTGTGGGGCAACAACCTCGTTTTACTTTTGTTTTTTTATTTATTTTTTTACTTTCCTTTTTTTTTACTCGTTTCACCCCCCCCATTTTTTCCCTTGCTGTCTGTGCCCCAACGGCCACGAGGGAAAAAAAACTATAAAAAAAAGAGTTATCCACCAATACAGTAGCTCATTAAAACAGACGTTCGACACGATCCGTTTTTTCATCGCCACCTGGGGTTGCAGCTTGTGAGGGGAAAGCAATTGTGGCGGTGCATATTTTCATGCTCTTGCGGTAGATTCATTCGATTTTGCTCATTCTTATCGATGGAAGTGACGTGAGGCTTGCAGCGGTTGACCCTCACACCTTGTTTTTTTCTCTTTCTCTCTCTCTCTCTCTCTCTCTCTCTCTCTCTCTCTCTCTCTCTCTTTCTCTCTCTCTCTCTCTCTCACACACACACACACACACACACACACACACACACATACAACGGTAGTATAGTTTCTGGTGGACCCACACTTGCACAGGGACCGGCAGGAGGTAACACGAAGGCGCCTGGACTATTTCCTAATCGGTGAACAACTCCAAAATCAAGTCACAACAGTCAGACAAGTGTGTCACCCGCTGTTGGACCACAAGCCAGTAATCTCAGATATCCGTCTCAATCTCGCCATGACTAGAGGGCGCGGCTTCTTTCGCCTCAACAACCAAGTCTTGGAGGAACCAGGGGTGGCAGACTGGGTAGCAGGACACATGGCAGGCTGGGAGAGCGCAAGACAACACTTCGACTCCACAGCAGAGTGGCTGGACGGCGGCATCGCAATCACCTCAGGGGTATTGGATGTCATATCACGGATTTTAGCAAGGGAAAGGAATAAAAGGGAGGGGGATCGCAAAAAGAGGGTGGAGGAAGCAGAAGAGCGCATGGAAGGACATCCCATCTCAGCGATGGTGTGGGCCTCAGAGAGGCAAAGACGGATGAGGTAGTGAGACAGCATTCAAGAGGATAAACAGAAGAGGTGGACGAAAATTCTGAAGATAAAGGGAATTGAGACAGGTGACAAAATGACCAAGGAGATGTTCCAAAGATTACAGCCAATACGGGCCCAGCATCAAATGGTGGACATTAGACATCCTTTCGACGCCGCCTCCCCTCCAGCATGCACAGCTCCAGGCATGCTCCAGCACGCCAGACTATACTACGAGGACGTTTTGTCCATCAGAAGACCAGGTGAGGATGTGAATACTGACCTCTCAAGAGACTCAGACATGTGGGAGGACACAACGACGAAGTTGCTGGTCACGGAGAGACTCGATTTGGACCGGCCATTCGCATTAGAAGAGTTAACACAAACTGTGAAAACAATGGCCAAGGGGAAATCCCCTGGGGTGGACGGATTGACAGTGGAGTTCTACGTTGCCAACTGGGCAGTCTTCGGACCCCGACTAATGGAGCTTTACAACGAGGTTCTGGTGGGAGGCAGGCTGGGGAAAGGTAAGACGCATGGGGTGATAGCGTTACTGATAAAAAAGGGCGACACATCCGGAACTGGCGCCCC